AATTTGTTACAAATTTGGGTATTGTTTATTTTGAGATTTATCTGATTAGAGGATTTATTGCCAAACAGAATATAGAACGTTTTGTCAATGTTAAGGGTGAGTTTGTTGGCAGTTAGCCAAAGATGGACTTTATTTAGCTCAGTATTTACTGTGGCATTTAGAGCAAGGGGGTCAGGACTGGAGTAAATGAAGGTTGTGTCGTCAGCAAATAGAATTGGTTTGAGGTGTTGGGAGGCATTTGGAAGGTCATTAATGTAGATGAGAAAGAGGAGAGGGCCAAGTATGCTGCCCTGAGGAACACCAATGTTGATGGGTAGGGTGGGAGAAATTGTATTATTCACAGAAACATATTGGAGCCTGTCAGTAAGGTAGGATTCGAGGTATTGTAGGGAGTGTCCTCTGACTCCATAATGATGTAATTTAAGAAGAAGGTTTTGGTGGTTGACAGTATCAAAAGTTTTACGCAGGTCCACAAATAACCCAACAGGAAACTCCTTTTTATCAAGAGCTGTATGAATCGAGTTAAGCATACTAATAAGTGCATCGTTAGTGCTTTTTTTGGGTCTGAAGCCATATTGGCAAGGGCTAAGTATATTGAGTTTGGCTAGATATGAGTAAAGCTGCTTGTAGATTAGTTTTTCGAATATTTTTGACAAGTTTGGCAGGATTGATATAGGTCTGTAGTTGTTAACATCTGTGTGATCACCACATTTGTGGACAGGGGTTACTCTTGCTTTTTTAGAATATCTGGAAAGGTTTGGAGTTCAAGTGACTTGTTGAAGAGCAAAGCAATAGCAGGGGCTAAAGATCTGGAGGCTTTTTTGTAAATTAAAGTTGGTATCTCCTCAAGGGCACCAGACTTGGTTTTAAGGGAAAGGATTATCTCATTGACGTCAGTGGAGTTAATAGGCTTTAGGTACAGAGACTGTGGGTAGTTACCTGTAAGATAGTCCTTAATGTCAGTACTGGAAGATGGAATATCATTAGCAAGGGATGACCCAATGGAAGAGAAGAACCTATTGAACTCAATAGCAGAATCAGAGGCTGAAAGCTGACCATCGTTATTAGACAGGAGAGTCGGTTTGTTATTTAAAATCTTCTTTGATCCCAAAATTGTGCTCCAAGTTTTTTTAATGTTGCTTTTTATTTTGGTAAATTTATCTTCGTAGTATTTAGTTTTGGCTCGTCTAATTATCTTAGATAGCAATAATGAGTAATTCTTTGAGAATTCTTTGGAGACAATTCCTAGCCTATACTTCTTCTCAAGGTCGTGTTTTTTGTTAATGGATTTAAGTATTCCCTTTGTAAGCCAAGGATTGTTAAGCCTTTTGCTTGTGACTTGTTTTGTAAGCATAGGACAGTGGGTGTTATAAAGGCTAAGAGTTGTTTGTAGAAAAGATTGCACTGCTAGGTTGATGTCCCCTATGTTACCTAACTCGGACTCCCAGTTGACATTATCAGCAGCAGTTATAAAATTGTTTATAGCAGTTTCATTGTGCAGCCTAAAGCTTAACTCCCTTGTCTCTAGAGGTGGTTTGCTAATGTTAGTTAAGAGAAATGTGGGGTAATGGTCTGTAGTGCTATCGGTGATTATACCTGAAGTAAGCGGAGAGGTTATGTTGGTCCAGATGTGATCTAGCGTCGTGGCAGTGCTATCAGTGATTCTAGTAGGTCTAGTGATTAAGGGTATGAGGAAGCAGGAATTCATACAGTTGAGGAAGCTAACAGCAGTAGGGTGTTCTGGCTCGCAGAGGTCAATATTAAAGTCCCCTGCGATAATTAGGTGGTTTTTGTTCAGTCTGTTATCTAGTATTAGATTTCTAAGGTTTGAGTTGAATTCAGACACATCAGTGTTAGGAATTCTATAGACTGCACCCACAGACAGGACAGACTCGGCACCCTTGACTCTGAAACTGGCGAAGATATACTCCCCACAGCAGTCTCTAGTTATAATTATTTTTAAGCATGTTAGTTCTTGGTTGTAGTAAAGAGCAGTACCACCACCTCTCTGCATTTGACGACAGTTGTGAATTGCCGAGTAGTTAGGCATGTTAAAGAGTTGAGTAGTATCCTCTTTCAACCACGTTTCAGTAAGTATAATAAAGTTACCATTTTTACTCAGTCTCTTAATTTATATTTAAAATTTAATTCCTTTTTCTTTTGTAAGGGAGCACTGTTAAGTTTCACTCACTTTTCATTTAAATATTTGTGTGAAGTCAAGTTCTGTATTACAGGCAGATGTGTTTGAGTTGTGCCACAGTGTAGCTCAACTTCTTGGCTAGTTTGGCTATGACTCTTTCAAACTTTTGTGTTAGTAAATGTTATTATGTGTAAATTGCTCTTGATGTCAAATTACTATGTGTATTTTGTTACAGGTTTCTCATATTTCCTATAATCTTTGTCATGTGACCTTTTTAAAACTCTCTGAAGTTTTGGCATCCATTTAATTTTTTAACGTATGTCTATGTCGACCTAACGACCTAACGTTTAAGGAGCATAACCAAGCAAATATTGCGACAGCCAGAAAAATGATAGGATGGATTACGAGAACTTTCAAATCCAGGGATCCCATCACAATGGTTGTACCCTTCAAGTCACTTGTGTTGTCCCGTCTTGAGTACTGCTCAGTACTCACTTCCCCCTTCAGAGCAGGAGAGATTGCTGAAATAGAGGGAATACAGAGAACATATACGGCATGCATAGATGCAATAAAGCACCTAAATTATTGGGATCGTCTCAAAGCCCTCCAAATGTACTCACTAGAAAGAAGACGAGAGAGATATCAAATAATATACACCTGGAAGATACTGGAGGGCCAAGTACCAAATCTACACAGTAAAATAACAACGTACTGGAGTGAACGATATGGAAGAAAATGTAGAATGGAACCAGTGAAGAGCAGAGGTGCCATAGGCACAATCAGAGAACACTGTATAAACATCAGAGGTCCGCGGTTGTTCAACGTCCTCCCAGCAAGCATAAGAAATATTGCCGGAACAACCGTGGACATTTTCAAGAGGAAACTAGATTTATTCCTCCAAGGAGTGCCGGACCAACCGGGCTGTGGTGGGTATGTGGGCCTGCGGGCCACTCCAAGCAACAGCCTGGTGGACCAAACTCTCACAAGTAGTGTGAGTTTGTAGGGGAGTAGAAGAACTCCCAGAACCCCATCAACCAGGTATCAACCAGGTATGTGTATATATTTGGTTGATTAGACACAGTTTAGTGTTTTATATATTTATTTAGCATGGTCTTAGTTACAGCAGTCAGTTTGTTGGCAATGTAGTGAAGTGTAATAGTTGTTGAAATGAAGTCTGGAGCAGGGCAGAGAGCTGAATGAGGCTGAGGGTAGAGAGCTTGGATGCTGGGTGAGAGTATAGACGTGGTGTTCTGAATGTGGGTAGAATTGAAGAGCTTGTATGCGGGATGAGAGTGTGGAAGCTTGATGTATCCAGAATCTGGCTGTCTGTTCTGCATCGAGGCTAAAGCTCCTTGTGAGGGTAGGAATTGGACTCGTTGAGTGTTACATTGTTGCTGGTGAATGTTGAAGATATGTGGTATCTCTCAAGCGTCTATACTGAATCACAATTCGAGTTTGACTGACTGTCGATAAGCTTTATATATTGTATATTGCTTATTTCATAAACTTATTGTAATGACTGGTATATAAAGTTTAGCTTTTGTGGTTGTTGGTCAGCCCGGGGGTGCATCGTGTGTTGTGGTAGGTTATGGCTCTCTGCTGTGATCTGTGCGTCATGGCCTCTGTGGCCATGGACTCGCTTTGGGTTGCCCGGGTTCCCTTCCTTTCTTCGTGTTCCAGGGTTCGGGTCTCCCGGGTCGTCTGCAGGGTTCTTTGGTTTTACCAGTTGTCTTGATTTTGAGTTTAGGGTGCTTGGGATCTGCTTCCCAGGTCCTTCCCTCTTTTTCCTTATCTTTGGTGAGGTAGCTCCGGGGAGGCAACGGGGCACCCCCAGAAAACCAGCGTTGACTGTAATGAAATACCATTTTCTGGGTGAGACCTGGAGACTCCCCGACATCCCTCCCTCCCTCCATCCATTCGGCAGTGTTTTCATGTGTTTTTGACGTCCAGCCTAAGAACTGCCAGATGGATCACCGGTGCGAGTGTCTGGGGCTCCTCCTTCCCCCTCCTGGGAAGGGGAAGCAAGCTTGTGCAGACAGCGGCACGGCAACATGATGACGTCATGTTCGTTTGCTAATTTTTGTTTGGGGAGTTCTGTCCACTCATTTGGCTTTCGGTAGCAATATTTTCACCAGAATAAGGGTTTGTTTTGGGGCACCTACCTTTCTGGGTGAAAGACCCGGTCGATGGCAGACATAGGATGCTCTCAACCACACACAGGGGTTTAGGCCATTGCTCCTCGTGCCTCTCTTAAGGGGGGGCCAGGTTCTGGCTCATGGTCCCCAGTAGGCAAGAACTCCCTACACTTTGACTGATGCCAGAAAGCTAATAGATATATATCAGCCTGGATAGCTCAAGGAAGCCTCCAGATCTTGCCCAGAAAATGGCGTTTCATTACATTCAACGCTGGTTTTATACAGAAAGAGTTCCATATTTCTATTTAAATGTTCATTTTAAATTTTGTTTAAAGCTAATGTTAAATATAATTTAGTGATCTAAAACTAGTATCTTTTGGGATCTTTGAAAAGTTCTCTGTGATAGCAGTACTTCGAATTTTGCACAGTCTGAGCGCACAATTCACCCCCTTTGACAGCATATTCTTTCTAAAGTGGCAACCAAGTTGGATACCTGTTTATTTTATTATATTCATAGGTATGTGCACTCTGATATCTCAGAATACACCATGCCTGTTGTCATGTTTTAATCCATCAAACATGTAGTTGATGACTTTGTGCTTTGGGACTTTCTGTGCTTAAGACTTGCAACTGAAGACTAAAGGCAAACAATTTCCACATTCCCATCCATAAAGCATTAACTTGACAGTTTTGTATCATAAAGGCATACTAACCAACTTTTCCAGGCATGAACCACAAGAAGCTGGGGTAAAACAACTTATTGCAATGAGAGATCTTCGAGAATTTAGTCACTTAGTCCGAGATGCTGCAGCCAACATCCAAATGAAGGAAACGAGGAATCTGCTTGGTACGGTTACAGTGCCTCTCTCTGTAAGTAAATTTGCCCAACAAATGCTTTTAATATCTTCATAAATTTTTATAGTAATATTAATTATAAATAATGCTAATGTTTATTTTTTATGAGACGGTTTTTGAGACATTATACACCATGCAGTAACAGATCATATTATAAACCCCATCATTAGATTTGGGATGATACTAAGATCTAAGGAAAAGTGGAACCAGAAATAATATTGGCAAATGATTTTCAGAATTTAAACATATTAGATCCTGTATTGGACATACTCACTTTATCGTTCTCATCCGTGTTTGTATCATTTATATCTGACACTTGTGTTAGGTCTTTATTGTGCCTTGGTTCATCAATATCACTACCCTTTTCTTCTTCAAAGAAAAATGTATGAATTTCCCTTTCAGGCAGCACTCTTTTCAACACCGTGATCAACAGGGGATTGGGAGCTGGAGACACATGCATCAGCCATGGTTGCTCACTCAGAACTGAGCCTACCTATGGCCCTGGGGGCATGCTGGGAATTTTTTTCAAGGTGGCTACTGCTCACTGGAGGTCTCAGGCCTCCATCTCGTAACCAACCTACCATGCGCGTGTTTTGAATCTTTGAGTACCCTAACATCACTCTTTAGTCGGGTGGCACGCAGCCATACACTGCATTTAATCGGATGGCGCAGTGCAGTGGTTAACCCATAAACTGCACAACACTCCATATGACGCGTTCAGTAACTGATGAGAAAGGGCACACCCCTTCATATGACGTTTTGGAGTACCCCACAAGATTTAAATGGTCCGCATGTACACGGGGTTCACATCAGCTTCCTCAGGGCTCTTGTAAACAGATGACATTTTTTTTAAATCGTGGATAACATTCTTGGGTGTGAAAGCCTCAGTACTGAGTGAACCACCAAGGCTGGTGCACGCAGCATGAGCTCACAGCACTGCTTTTCAGCTTGTGACCACAGCATCACCAAAAAATGTAACGAATATATGTAACTGGTATTATTTAGCAACGATAGTATTACAGAAGACCCCTGACTGTGATAAAAATGACCAGGATTCTGATATCAGGATTGTTGTGATAATTTGCTTTGTGTTGTGGTTGAGGATGGGAGGGCAGTAGTGTCGTCTGCCGAATCTGTGTGGCCACCTGTTACTGTCTGCACTTACAATACCAGCTTAGTGGTTTGCTATGGTGAACACAAATGTAGATACTTATATATAACATGTATATATTGTGTAATAACAGCAAAAGGAGTGTCGGGAGAAGCCGTTTTGGTGAGGGAGGAGGCGTCATCTTCATGACTTGTCATGCTGTGTAAGGGTGGCCACTATGCTCTTTGGGCACTATACCAGCTTAGTCAAACAGTTATGGTGAACAAAACATGTAAATACATATATATAACATGTATACGTTCTTTGATCAGTCAGGTCTTTTGCTGTGGCTCTATTTGTTGGCAGGGCATCACACTAATGCCACCTGGTGTTGACTTAATTCCCTTGCATCATAGTGCACCAATATCTGGTAGTGGCATCTGGTAGGTGATGGATGGGTCTCAGAGGCCTGGTGTATACACCAAAGGCTTGGTGTTACTCTGGCTAAGTTCTAGGAGCTACCAGGGGACCACCAGAAATGGTAAATTCATTATATTAAATAATACAGTACTTGGGTTTTATAATGCCACTAATCATGCATGGCATGGAGACCTCACCTACAAAAATATATTATCACACTGGAAATAGTTCAACAGAATGACAAGAAATCATTCAAGAACTAAGTCAACTCTCATACCTGGAATGGCTATGGTCCAAGCTTTGACTCTTCAAACAAGATGCAACAAGGCTGGTCTCAGTTAAGACCTTAACCCTTAAAGTGCGCATCACGTCATATGACGTGCTGGACGTTGTTCCAGTCAACTGCGCATCACGTCATATGATGTGTTGGAGTACTACGCAAGATTTAAACAGCCCGCGGATACACGGGGTTCACCACACCTTCATCAGGGCTCTTGTAAACAGACGCCATTTAAAAAAAAAATCGTGGGCCAAACTCCCGGGTGTTATTGGCCTCAGTATTGAGTGAGCAACCAAGCCTGATGCATGCAGCATGAGCTAACAGCACTGCTGTTCAGCTTGTGACCACAGCATCGCCTAAAAATGCCAAATTATACTTGTTCATGCTATTATGTAGCGATGATATTATTACAGAAGACCCCTGACTGTGATAAAACTGACCAGGGTTCTGATAATAGCAGGATTGTGGTGATATTTAGTGCTGTGCGCCATGGAGGGAGGAGTAATGCTGTGGGAGGGAGGGTGGTGGCGATGTCTTCTGACTGTGTGTGGCCACCTTTTATTGACTGCACTCAGCATACCAGCTTAGTGGTTCGCTATGGTGAACACAAATGTAGATAATAATATATAACGTGTGTATAGAGGGTATAAACAGCAAGAGAAGGTTTGGAGCTGCCATTTTGGTTATATACAGAGCACCACTTGGTTTCCGAACCCCTTGGGGACGAGACCCGTCGGTTAACATGTAAGTTCGTATACGAGAAATGGAGGAAAAAATAAAAAAAATAATTTGAAAAAAATCTAGGGGAAAAAATCGACAGGTTCATAGCGTAAATGCGTGACCGTATTTTGTTTGTACTCACCAATAATTGAAGTCCTGATCCGCTTATGTTGATGATCGATGTTGATGAAGCATAGTTATTTACATGGAAGAGGTGGTGGTGGATGTTGATGGTGTTGGATTGACTGAAGTTGTTGGGTTGACTGGGTCAACATGCGATGAGTCAGGTGCTGGTGATGCAATGCGAGCTTTCTTGGAAGCCATTGCAAAAGACTCTGTAATTGACATTTGTTTCATTCCCTTGGCTCTTGTTTTTAAAAACTTCATATACAAATTGTACTGAGTCATCATGTCCTTAGTTTCAAACTCGCTGTAACTCGTGTCCATAAATGCCAGAATGTATTCAAAATTTTGCTGAACTTTTTCCATATCACATTTTTCCTTTAACGTTTCTTCATCCTCTTCCTCTTCCTCTCCATCTTCTTCATTGCACTCGTCTGGCTTTTTTGCTGTACATACTAATTCTATAATTTCATCATTAGTCATGTTTCGATTGTTTGGGGCTTCTTCATCAAAATCTATCCATCTATCTATGTCATCTTCGATTGTTTCAGTCACCAGTTCTGCTCTAATCTCAGGGGACTTAATCCCCTTGACATAGGCTAGGAGTTCCTCTCTTAATTTTTTCTTCTCGCTAACTTTCTTCACCGCAAATCCTTCAAAATCTGCCTCGTCATCTTCCTCAGGAAACAGACTTGACGCGGGCCAAAGTTTTTTCCAACCATTTCTTAGTGTTGTCTGCTTTACCTCATCCCACGCACTAGCAATAGTCCAGATAGCTGACTTTATTGTGAAGACTTTATAAAAGTCCTTAAGTGTTCCAAGCTGATTGTTAAGACGTCTGGCAAACATCCTCTTGTAGTGGTGTTTAAGGTTCTTAATTATTCCTTGATCCATGGGTTGGATCACTGAGGTTGTATTGGGTGGCAAGAACGTTCCAATAATATTGCCATTTATAAGCTCATCACCTCGTGGATGCGTTGAACTGTTATCTAGCAGCAGCACAACTTTGCTGTTTTGCGGGAGACCAACACTTTTCAGGTGCTCCTTCACCTCGGGTACAAAGTTCTTATTAAACCACTCGACAAATATTACTCGAGACATCCACGCACTTGGCTGGTCCTTATAAATCACAGGGAGGCACCTGGCTGACTTTAAAGCCCTGGGGTTTTTACTAATTCCAATCACAAGTAACTTTAATTTGTGCGTGCCAGCTGCATTTGCACAGCACAACAAAGAAATTCTCTGTTTGTTCTGTTTATAACCACCTGAAGGATCGTCCTCACCACTATGAGCCATCGTTTCTGTGGGAAGCATACGCCAGTACAAACCTGTCTCATCAGCATTATAAATTTGCTCTGGAGCTAAATTTTGTTCCTGCACCATGTCTGCAAATTTACTCACATACTCATCAGCACCAACAATATCAGCAGATTGTCTTTCACCATGCACTTTAATAAACCTAATGCCATGACGGGTTTTAAAACTTCTGAGCCAACCATCACTGTATACACACTTTTGAGTAATTTTCATTGCTTGGTGAAATTCACGCGCCTTTTCCACGAGGAGCCAGCCTGCCACTGGCTTCTTCGTCACTTCACGTCTCTGTTTGTACCACTCCCACACTGCGTTATCAACACTCTCCACTTTTGCTTTACTTACTACCTTTCTATTTCGTATTGCTTTATCACTTTCACTTCTAGAGAAATAGTAAAAAATGATAGGTTTAGCCTTAAGAAGATCAAAAACAGTACTTTTACTAATGCCATACTCAGCGCACACGACACTTCTCGGGACACCGCTTTCCACCTTCTTAATTATTTCAACTTTCTTTTCAAATGTCATCACTGACCTCTTTCTTTTACGTAACCCGCTTGTAGATGCTTTCACTGACACAATGCGTGCATTTGGAGCCGACATGGTGCACGGATGTTCCTTGATTGTGCTGATATGTAAAACAAAGTCACGGAATGAACACTCCAGTCTCGTGACAAATTCAAACAATGGGAACAATAGGCCGTGAGTCTGTGACGTCACAGGGTAGCCGGCGGCGCCCGACACGGTCAGTGAGCAAACTAAACCATCACCCACCCCCCCACCCACCCACCACAGGCCGGCACGATGCTTGGCTGACCGCTTCCTTACCCGAGCCAGCCTGCCTGCCTCCTTACCCAAGCCAGCCTGCCTGCCTCCTTACCCGAGCCAGCCTGCCTGCCTCCTTACCCGAGCCTGCCTGCCTGCCTGTCTGCCTGTGCCTGTCTGCCTGTGCCTGCCAGCTTGCCTTTCCCTCCCTAATTCTCACTACTTCCGTCCCTTCCTGCCTACCTCCTAGCATCTCTCCCTACCTCCCCCTCCCTCTTAGCATCTCTCCCTACCTCCTAACAT